GTGATGGAATGGGGTCAAGAGGGCAGGTGGTCGGACGGGCAGAGGTTACTAGGGTAAGAATTTGGTTAGGAGACAGGGGGGTGAAAGAGGAAAGTGAGGGCGATAGAGGTGAAGTCAGTGGGACGCAAGAAGTAGGAGGGGATTTGCCAGTCCGTGGTGTCGAAAGAGGGCAGAGAGGGTAGAGGAACCTTTCTCACGTTGGATGCAAATCTTTGACAAAAATGTGTCTATTTCGGCTCAAAAACACAGTGTTTCTTTAAGCGTGAAGAATGTTATATCAATACTTTATTTGTTAGTGCACCGCTTTAAAAGACCAGAACTAATTTCATAACTGTAATTAATTCCCAATGCTATAATATCTCTATATCTATTATCTTGTAACTAAACTAACATGGGCTGTGTTTATGGGGTTCACTCTACTCTATTTACAGTCCATTATAAAATTATTTACAGGAATCTGTAGTTTTCCTGGCTCAAATAAAACTGAGACAATTTCTTTGCTTGAATCTTTCAATGTTGTTTATAAGTAAAACACATTTGTTGCTTGTAATCTTTTATTACAAAGCTATGTCCAATTGTGAAAGATATCTTTACCATTTCACAACATTTAGTTTAAATTATTCTCAGTGGCCTGAAAAGGTTTCACTAAGCCGTATTTCGCAGGTGCATGAAAAGAAGAGGAAAATACAATCTTTTGCCTCCTTGTACGGATAAAATTGCCTTATTACATGGTCTAAATGTAAAACTGTGCCTTTCATCTATGTATTGAGTAGATGTGATAAGGGTTCAATATCCAAAAGACATAACTGTGACATTGTTCATGTTTCTACCCACAAGAAGGAATCTCACTCTCTTCTCTGATACACTTGAATTTTTTTAGTGTTACAGAAATGGATTTTCAGTCTTTTTCCCACAATTTTCCTTTAACAGAATGAAAGATCTTTGAGCACAACTACTGCTCAGCACAAAACTCATCTATTCTACAGGCAACTACAGTATAATACCTTATTATATCATTTAAAAAGACAATAAAGGCACAAATAGTATTCAAGCTAAATATAGTGCATTTTATTATGAAAACAATGCCGCAAAATATTCTACTAAAAGGGTTCATTGTTTCATGGTTTTATGGATCGTTTCTCTTTCTCTCCGGAGCAGTGAGTGAACGCACGCTTGGTAATCCTCCCAGGAGGTTTGCACGCCATTTTCATCAGGTCTCCTCTGCCCGCCACGCGGGTTTATGAGAAAACCGTCACTGGTTCTGGGGGGAAGCAAACTGTGTCCATCAGTTCTCGGAGAGACGGAGAAAGGAGCAAAAGGGAGGGAAGATCACCGGGTGAGGAGGGAGTCCTCCGTGGGGCGGTTACAAGTATTTGGGAAGATCTTTCTCCACCACCTGGAAGGAAAGCAAGGGGAGAAGTTTACATTATGTCACTGTGTGGTTTATTTCCTGTCTTATTTTGTAGTTTCTGCTTCTTGTCTCCCTGGGTAACTTCACTTCCTGCCTTGTCCTGTCATCCCCTGTGATTGTCTGATTGTTTCCACCTGTGTCCAATCACCTGCACCGCCCTTGTGTATTTAAGCAGTGTGTGTCTCTTGTCACTTGTCGCGTCATTGTTGATTGTTGGATGTTCCATGTTCCTGTCTGCGTTCTTGCTCCTTAGCCTTTTTGCGGGGGGTTTTGGAATCTTTGACGATTAAAGTGTCTCTTGTTTTCTCAAAGTCTGCATTAGAGTTTTGCCTTCCCCGCACCCTGACACATTAGTCAGACCATGCAAATCATTTTGAATGTTTTTTAGGTTATAACAGGAGTCTCATAGGAAACATTTAAAACCAGTAAAGGTACACAAGAGTGCTACAATCATGATAAATACACATGTAGTATCTGTGGCAAAGTACATACATTTGGATCAGCCAGGGGCCCGTATCTCTTCATCACCTGACCCTCTCTGTTGATCAAAAACTAAAGAGGAAGACGAAAATGAGGAAGCTCATACACATGGAATTCATGAATTAAGAGTTCATTTCTGTTTTTCATTGTCAAACAAATGATGGAAGCATTTAAGCATTTACAGGCTTCTTCCAGTAAGTATTATGCACTCATGATAGTAAACACAATTTAGTCATATAGATACAATAAATTACACATGACGCTTATTTACCTTGGTGAAATTCCACTTGATACTACTGCAGGAATGAAAATGAATCACATGTTAAAGCATCGCTGTGTTAAAAGGCGTCACCACAGCTTAAATAAACGCGTTGTGAGATCCACACGTACTTTCCCATGAAGCCTTTCCCGTTGGGCTGGTCCTTGAGCCACTTCCACAGAGGGTGAGCCGTGGGCCCGTTCACCTCGATCTTGCTGAACATGTCGAACCGAGCGTTGTAGGACTGTGCAAACTGCTTGATTTGAGTTTCATTGCCGGGCTCCTTCAAAATAAAACAAGTTGACATTTATAATTAAGCAGATCAGCACCATTAATGCTGGTTTATTATGTCTGAATAAGACAATGCTGAAACAACGTTTGGCTTAAATTAATACTGGGCAAGAAAAAAATAATAATAATAATAAGAGAATTTGATGTATAACATAAGCATCATTGAAACACTCAATGGCCCGTTTATTTTGGGAAGGAAGTCTTCCTTTAAGTTCAACAATATGAGCTTCCCTTCTTTGCAAATAGTATGATAACAAAATGTTTTGTGATAAAAATCTAGATAACAACATAATCTAATTGTATTTTGTAGCAACACACAATGGCATGTTAATCCTTGATTTAATCACTCATTTACCTCGTTCCCGAACTGGTTGGAAGGGAAGGCGAGGATGTGTAGACCTCTCTCAGAGTACGTAGCGTGCATCGCCGCGAACTGAGAGTAGTTCACCGGGGTTTTAGCTCATTTAGAGGCAGCGTTGGTGATGATGACGACGTCCCCCCTGAAAATACAAAGACACACGTGTCCCGGTGGGCTAATGGAATGGAAGGCTGCAGCAAATTTAGGGGTTATATATATATATAAATATATATATATATATATATATATATATATATATATATATATATATATATATATCATTATTATATAACAACTGTTAATATACGTATTTATGTTGTTTCATGCCAATGATGTCACTTTTTTTTTTTAAACAGATAGATTTACTTGTATTTTTCGAGGGAAACCAAGTTGCCATCAATATCTGTGGCTGAGAAGTTATAAATCGATGTGGCCGTCTGCCAGTCCTCTGTTGGAGCAGACTGTGAGGAAAGACAAGAAACTTGAGTGGTGGGAACTTTAATCCAACAAATCTCACACATAATAAATACTTGAAAGTAAAGATCCATTCAGTTGAACCCAATGGGACTCTGTTCCTCAGAGGCGACATCACAGCTCGTTTATTTCCTACCATCGCCTGCAGCAGGACAGAGAAAAGGACAGTGGACCTTAAGAGACGCATGTCTGTCCTTCAGTAAGGTCCTCGGAAGGAAGCAGGCGATCAGATCTGTACGAGTGTCAGACCACAAGACCCGACAGAGAAGGCAGACGAGTGTCCTCATGTACGAGTAGACCGATTGATCATTATCGGCTTCGAGTCTCCAATCGGCTCCCTAATGAACCCACGTGAGACGCGCTGACGCACCGCGGTCCACAGTTATTATTTTTACACATGTAATAATAATAATTGTTCATATTTGAAAAAATACTCGTCAAACTCCACCCACACGCTTGGTGTGACGTCATCAGATTGCCCTAAAATCCTGCGCAGTGTAGTTTTGCTACATTTAGCATGATCATGTGAACAAAAAAGCATGACGATATTCATATGTCACTTTTTCAAACATTTAGAGAGACATTCATGTAAATTCATGCAATAACTTTTCCAAGGATAATGTTTGGCAGTAAGACAAAGTTGTTAAATAATCTAAATGTTGTATTTTATATCTAAATGTAAATCTAAATGTTAAATGTAGATTTAAATTTTCACCCTACATATGAAACTTGATGACTGAACACTATACTATATAACGTACTATATTTACGATAGCCAGCTTGTCTTGCCGCGGCGTGAACATTTAACATTTAGATTTAGATTTAACATTTAGATTTAACATTTTGATTTACATTTAGATATAACATTTAGATTTAGATGTAACATTTACATTTAACATTTAGATTTAGATTTAACATTTAGATTTAGATTTAACATTTAGATTTACATTTAACATTTAGATAAAACATTTAACAATTAGATGTAACTTTTAGATTTACATTTAACATTTACATTAGCATGTAACATTTATATTATTTAACAACTTTGTGTTACTGCCAGACATTATTCTGGGGGTTGTCGTGGCGCAGGGGGTACAGCGGGTGCACTCGGAACCACAAGGTTGGTGGTTCAAGTCCCGGCTGCCCCATGTCTCAAGTTGAAGTGTCCCTGAGCAAGACACCTATCCTCTAATTGCTCCCAGGGCAAAAATGTAAAGCCGTGGGTTTAAAGTGTAATGTAAGTTGCTTTGGATAAAAGTGTCAGCTAAATGACCTGTAATGTAATATTCTTGGAAAAGTTATTGCATGAATTTCTGAAAAAAGTGACATATGAATATTGTCGTCCTTTTTTGTTCATATGATAATGCTAAATGTAGCAAAACTGCGCAGGATTTTAGAAAGTGCAACACTTTACAAACGGCGCCCCATAGGTTAGCTGTTACGCGACCGTTAAAGCCTAGTTTATGCTTCTGCGTTTTCAGAGCGCCGCAAGGAAACGCAGGCTAGACCCCCTTGCGTGTCCCTTGCGTGCCTTTTCACACCTTCTTGCGTGCGTCAACCCATTTTTCTAGGCTTGCGTCGAAAGCGACGCAAGCCTCCCGCAGCGCACAAGGTTGATTGTTCTGCTAACTACATCCTTTACGGAGTCTCACATTTCTGTTTTCATAGCACAAAACCGCCATTATTAAAACGAAGAATGTTTACGAGAGAATGAATCAGATTGAAGAGCTTTTGTCAGAAGAAATGTGTAAATATGACCGCTTCTACAAGCCGTCATCGGCGGACCATGAGGACGCGCGGATGGTTTCTGATTCATGGAGGGAGATCTCCGCAAAACCATAGAATTGAACCATGAATTGAAACGAGTCCGTTGACTCAAGTGTGTCCTCTCCGGAGTACTTTCTATTTGTAACAATGTACAAAGTAGCAGTTGATTTCCCCAAAGACCCCCATCAAGGTGTATTTAGTGTCTTTATGAGAACCGACTCTTAATGAAAATATGTATTTGTTATCCTCCTTTAACATTTTTTACTTCGGCAAATTAAAGGAAAGTCAGCTGCCGAGAATTCAGGCGGTGACCCTGTGGCTCGATACTTTGGCTTGAAAAGAGGACAGGTAACTCATTAAAAAACGCTCAATTTAAGATGTTTTTCTTCCAATATGTTTCCAAATCCAAGTACATTTTACAATCCTGGATTTGATTGGTGGCCAAAGCTAAAAACAATAAACAAGACACGGTTTGTTTGAACATACCCAGAAGGGATTTGCATGTAATATGTGATAACGGGGATTTAAATGAACTGCAAACCAAATACAAATTCGGGAGGCATGGAACTGGTGATCCCGGTCATTACAGTCTAAAATTAGATTTCTTTCGAAAACCTTTGCAGGTGGTGAAGATCATCAGACCCAGTGAAACAGCGGGGAGGTACATCACATACAGACTGGTGCAGTGACAGACGGTGAGTGAGTTACGCACAAAAAGGTTTACCGGTCACACTGCTAAAATCCCATCAGTGTTTGGTTCTCCTTGCCGTTCCTACATGTCCCAGGATGCATTGCACGCAAGCTGTTAGGTTGGCCCTCAATCCAGCAGCAGCGTACTTTCTTGGAAAAAATATAGGAAATTGACCATCAAGGCATCGGACATCCTCGGATGTGTGATGCTTTTCATAAAACATGTTTTGTATGTTTCTTTCCAGATTATTTCCTTATTGAGCAACATTGGAGGACCAGGAAAATTACGACATGACATCTTCTTTCTGCTTTTGAGTTCTTTAAATTGTGGTTATTTGTAATGATTTTATAAAATAAACTATTCAAAATATTGATTTATTTCTTTCTAATGTGGAAGTTAAAGGTCTGAACGGTGCGTTGAGTGAAGCTTCTGCGCGTGTAGAACGATGGTGGCAACTCTGAATGACTCCATATGCAAAATATACACCGTCCGTTCTACGGTAACAAATACAGGTGATCATACACTAAACTTTAACTGATCCCCATAAACACAACTACCTATAATGGTTTCAGAACCTACCTTCCGCTTTCTTTTAAAGGCCATGTTGTCTCCGCTGCAGACGGGAGCTTTGACTGCTTGTTGAGCTTCAGATCCCCACTAAAACCCTCCCAGGGAAGTGAGCACGTCTCTTTTCAGTGGCAGCAACTAATTTGATTATTTAGGTTCCTGCTCACCTTTGCTTCCTCGTATTAAATGTAAAAAAACAAAGTGTAACAACTTTAAAATTCTTTTTTTAATTATACCAAATATCCAGAATGAGGCAATACAGGCAACATTCAAAAGACAATACTGAATTTATTTTAAAACTTTAAGTGCTGAAATAAAACCAGAAGCCCTTTGATTTGCTTCTGAACGGCACATTAAGATGTGACTTACTGACCACTTTTCCTTAAGCTCGCAAGAGCAACGAATAAAACATTTTAAAAACGCATTTTTGCAGCAGTAGGTATTAATCATTTAAGTTAAAACCTCTTGAAAGAAGTAATTGCATCAAACAGCAGGAAGCTTGCCAGGATAAATGAACACAGCTGAAATCTGCATTCAACATATTACATCAGCTGGATTTTAATGATTAAAAACAGATCAGCTCAAAATGAGCTTTAGCTCCCTCTGCAGGCGGCCGGGGGAATGAAGGGTGGACCCGCTACCCGGAGCTCAGCGCGTCAAGCTGATCTCTAGGGTCGCTGGATGGTTTGTTGTCATTACGCACCAAAGGGGACGCACGAGGATGCACTTGTTATCCCATTAATATAAATAGTTATATTTAAGTTATATTTACATTTATATTTAAAATTTATATTTACATGTAACATTTATATTTGTATTTAACATTTACATTTAGATGGGCGGCACAGTGGTGTGGTGGTTAGCACTGTCGCCTCACAGCAAAAAGGTCCTGGGTTCAGCGCTGCTCAGTGGCCTTTCTATGTGGAGTCTGCATGTTCTCCCCCGTGTCTGAGTGGGTTCTCTGTGGGTACTCCGGCTTCCTCCCACAGTCCAAAGACATGCTCTGGGGATCAGCTTAATTGGGGACTTTAAATTGCCTGCAGGTGTGTGAATGGTTGTTTGTCTCTGTGTAGCCCTGCGATTGGCTGGTGACCAATCCAGGGTGTACCTTGTCTATCGCCCAAAGTTGGCTGGGATAGACTCCAGCCCTGTGTGCAGGATAAGCGTTTTGACGATTTAGATGAAACATTTATATTATTTAACAACTTTGTGTTACTGCCAAACAATATCCTTTGAAAAGTTATTGCATGAATTTACAGGAATATCTCTCTAAATGTTTGAAAAATGGTTAGGGTTAGGGTTAGGGTTTGACCATGTCCTGGATGTAAGCTGGACCCGATCCATTCACAGCATGGTACGTGAGTACCAGTGTTTTGAACTGGATGCGGGCCACCACCAGTAGCCAGTGAAGAGAGCGGAGCAGTGGAGTAGTGTGGGAGAATTTCGGAAGGTTTGAGACCTGCATTCTGGATGAGCTGCAGAGGTAGAATGGCAGTAACGGGGAGACCTGCCAGGAGTGAGTTGCAGTAGTCCAGGCGGCGGGAGATGACAAGCACCTGAACCAGTACCTGCACTACCTTCTGAGTGAGAAGGGGACGTATTCTCCTGATGTTGTAGAGCGTGTCTCTACAGGATTGCGTTGTCGCAGTGATGTTGGGAGTCAGGGAGAGTTGGCTGTCAAGTGTCACGCCGAGCTTCCTAGCGGTTAAAGTGGGCGTTAGCACGGAGTTGCCAAAGTTGACTGCCAAGTCCTGGGTCGGAGAATCTTTTCCCGGATCTTTTCCCTGATTTTCAGATGGTGAGCGGACATCTACTGAGTCAGACAGGCAGAGATCCGTGCCGCCACCTGGGTGTCCGAGTGAGGGAAGGAGAGAATTAGTTGGGTGTCATCGGCATAGCTGTGGCAGGAGATGCCATGCGAATAAATGCCCGCGGCAAAAGAGTTGGTGTAGAGCGAGAAGAGAAGGGTATCCAGGACGGAACCCTGAGGACCTCCAGTACTAAGAGGACAAGGTTCCGACACAGATCCTCGCCAGGTTACTCGGTCGGTGCTGCCGTCAAAGTATTACGAGAGAAGGGAGTGAGCAGAGCCTGAGACACCAAGCACCAAGTTGTTTTCTTCAGAAGGGTTGAGGGTGGGTTTCTTCAGGAGCGGGTTAACTCGTGCCTCCTTCAGAGAATTGGGATAACAGCCAGATAACAGATCATTGATGATGAGGCAGGTGAGGATAGGAAGAAGGTCAGGAGCGATAGATTGTAGAAGATGTGATGGAATGGGGTCAAGAGGGAAAGTGGTCGGACGGGCAGAGGTTACTAGGGTAAGAATTTGGTTAGGAGACAGAACGGTGAAAGAGGGAAGTGAGGGCGATAGAGGTGAAGTCAGTGGGACGCAAGTAGGAGGTGGGTTTAAGAAAGAGGAGCGTATATCAGCTATTTTCTTGGTAAAGTAGTTGACAAAGTCTCCGCGGAAGAAGGGTGGAGGAGGACTAGGGTGTCCGAGGAGGTTGGAGAAGATCGAAAAGAGTTTTTGGGGTTAGAAAATGAAGATTCAATTCTGGATTGGTAGAAAGAGCTTTTGGCAGCAGAGATTGAAGCCGAAAAAGAGAGATGAGATTTAAATTCATGCAGGTCTTCAGGTCGTTTATATTTACGCCATCTCCCTTCCGATGCTCGCATGGTGGCTCTCATGGCACCGGTTGAGACAGACACAGAGCCGGAGGGGATTTGCCAGTCCGTGGTGTCGAAAGAGGGCAGAGAGAGTCGAGAGAGGAGGAAAGAGTTGAGAGAAGAGTCTCAGCAGCAGGGTTCCAATGCAAGAGTGAGAAGGAGTCAGAAGAGGGAGAGCTGATAGAACAGAGGATGCCAGCGAGGAAGGAGAGAGGTAGCGAATGTTGCGATGAACAGGTACAGAGTCAGTTGATGGGGGAGGGTCGTTAGTTATAGAGAGTGGGAGAGAGTAAGAGATGAATAAGTGGTCAGACACATGGTCAAGTGGTGTTAGTGGTAGAGCAGTTTCTGGTGAAGATGTAGTCAAGGTGATTGCCGGCTTTGTGAGTCGGAGGAGAGACACATCTATTCTACAGGCAACCCCTGTATAATACCTTATTATTTAATTTAAAAAGACAATAAAGGCACAAATAACATTCAAGCTAAATATAGTGCATTTTATTATGAAAACAATGCAGAATATTCTACTAAAAGGGTTCATTGTTTCATGGTTTTAGGGATCGTTTCTCTTTCTCTCCGGAGCAGTGAGTGAACGCACGCTTGGTAATCCTCCCAGGAGGTTTGCACGCCATTTTCATCAGGTCTCCTCTGCCCGCCACGCGGGTTTATGAGGAAACCGTCACTGGTTCTGGGGGGAAGCAAACTGTGTCCATCAGTTCTCGGAGAGCCGGAGAAAGGAGCGAAAGGGAGGGAAGATCACCGGGTGAGGAGGGAGTCCTCCGTGGGGCGGTTACAAGTATTTTGGAAGATCTTTCTCCACCACCTGGAAGGAAAGCAAAGGCAGAACATTAGTCAGACCATGCAAATCATTTTTGCATGTTTTTTAATGTTACAACAGGAGACACATAGGAAACATTTAAAACCAGTAAAGGTACACAAGAGTGCTATAGTCACGATAAATACACATGTAGTACGTACACTTGGATCATCCAGGGGCCCGTATCTCTTCATCACCTGACCCTCTCTGTTGATCAAAAACTAAGGAGGAAGACGAAAAAGAGGAAACTCAAACACATGGAATTTATGAATGAAGAGATTATTTCTGTTTTTCTTTTAGAGTCAAACAAATGTTGGAAGCATTTACAGGCTTCTTCCAGGAAGTATAATGTACTCATGATAGTAAACACAATTTAGTCACATAGATACAATAAATAACACATGAAGCTTATTTACCTTGGTGAAATTCCACTTGATACTACTGCAGGAATGAAAACAAATCACATGTTAAAGCATCGCTGTGTTAAAAGGCGTCACCACAGCTTAAATAAACACGTTGTGAGATCCACACGTACTTTCCCATGAAGCCTTTCCCGTTGGGCTGGTCCTTGAGCCACTTCCACAGAGGGTGAGCCGTGGGCCCGTTCACATCGATCTTGCTGAAGATGTCGAACCGAGCGTTGTAGGACTGTGCAAGCTGCTTGATTTGAGTTTCATTGTCGCGCTCCTTCAAAATAAAACAAGTTGACAGATATAATCGAGCAGATCAGCACCATTAATGCTGGTTTATTATGTCTGAATAAGACAATGCTGATGAAACAACAACAACAACAAAGTGTTTTGTGATTAAAATCTAGATAACACAGTAATCTAATTGTATTTTGTAGCAACACACAATGGCATGTTATTCCTTGATTGAATCACTCATTTACCCCGTTCCCGAACTGGTTGGTAGGGAAGGCGAGGATGTGTAGACCTCTCTCAGAGTACGTAGCGTGCATCGCCGCAAACTGAGAGTAGTTCAACGGGGTTTTACCTCATTTAGAGGCAACGTTGGTGATGATGACGACGTCCCCCCTGAAAATACAAAGACACACGCGTCCCGGTGGGCTAATGGAATGGAAGGCTGCAGCAAATTTAGGGGTTATATACACATATCCTTATTATGTAACAACTGTTGATACACATATTTATGTTGTTTCATGCCATTGATGTCACATTAATACAAAAAAGAAGATAGATTTACTTGTATTTTTCGAGGGAAACCAAGTTGCCATCAATATCTGTGGCAGAGAAGTCATAAATCGATGTGGCCGTCTGCCAGTCCTCTGTTGGAGCAGACTGTGAGGAAAGACAAGAAACTTGAGTGGTGGGAACTTCAATCCAACAAATCTCACACATAATAAATACTTGAAAATAAACATCCATTCAGTTGAACCCAGTGGGACTCTGTTCCTCAAAGCAACGCACGCTCGGTGATCCTCCCCAGGAGGAAAAAAAATCCTCGTGAAACTCCACCCACACGCTTGGTGTGACGTCATCAGATTGCGCCGATCAACTGAAACGTGCGTCGCGTCGTCCGCAGCGGCGAAGCTGATAAGTTACAGTAAACAATATTTAGATAAAAACTACACAAGTGAAACATTTGAGACAATATGGACGACGAAGAGGAAACCTACAGGCTTTGGAAGATTCGTAAGACCATCATGCAGGTCCGTTATGTGTTCATGTGTGTCTTCCTTAGCATGCTATTAGCATGTGGCTGAGACAAACAAACGGTTACGCGCTGTGATTTTGCCGTCTGTGTGAGTTAGTTTGTGGGTCGAGCAGCAATTTGTTCCTCGCTGTGTACCGTTAGTTGTTTTGTAAATAGTCCCGTACAAGTTCCTCTGGCTTTGCAGCACCAGTTCGTTGAGTCTTTCAGGAAGCACTAACATACTCTCAATATATATAAACAAGCGGGTGTGTCTTGCTTCTCTGTGATTGTAGTTCTGACTCGTCTCGTTACAATCTGTCTGGCAGTGAAAATAATCCTTTTTTTGAGTCGATCTGGTTTTAATCATTAAAATCCAGCTGATGTATTATGTTGAATGCAGCGTTCAGCTGTGTTGATTTATCCTGGCACGCTTCCTGCTGTTTGATGCAATTACTTCTTTCAAGAGGTTTTAACTTAAATGATTAATACCTACTGCTGCAAAAATGCGTTTTTAAACTGTTTTTTCACATCAAAAACATTTAAAAATGTCTTACAGGCAGGAATTAACTGAACCTCGTTGAAGGTGGTTCACCACACTGGGAGTAGATCTTCCTGAGCATTCTAGTTTGTCCCATTATGACTTGTAAACGTGATTGTTAAAGGGCGGTCTCACCTGTCCACCCTCAGCTGTGCCATGACAGAGGTTACCTGGTGACACAGGACGAGTTGGACCAGACGCTGGATGAGTTCAAGAGTCAGTTTGGAGACAAGCCCAGCGAGGGTCGCCCCAGGCGCACGGACCTCACTGTGCTGGTGGCGCACAACGACGACCCCACCGACCAGATGTTCATTTTCTTTCCTGGTAGGTTGATGCCTATTATAATGCGGGTGGATGAAATCCAGCGTTCTGATTGGTCGAGAGCGAGTCACGGGGGTTACGTTATTTTGGGGCGCCGTTTGTAAAATGTTGCACGTTCTAAAAACCTGCGCAGTGTAGTTTTGCTACATTTAGCATCATGTGAACACAAAAGCACGACAATATTCACATGGCACCCTTTCAAACATTTACAGAGAAATTCATGTAAATTCATGCAATAACTTTTCCAATGATAATGTTTGGCAGTAACACAAAGTTGTTAAACAATATAAATGTTAAATGTAAATCTAAATGTTAAATGGCGCACAGGATGGTCTATACCCCTGCTCTATAACAAGAGCTAATTTATCCAGCTTGTCTTGCCGCGGCGTGAATTACCATAAATATTGTAATGTTCAGTTGTCAAGTCTGATATGTAGAGTGAACATTTAACATTTAGATCTACATATAACATTTACATTTAGCATTTACATTTACATTTAACGTTTATATTTTTTTAACAACTTTGTTACTGCCAAACATTCTTGGAAAAGTTATTAATAACTTAATAAACGTTATTCTGGCGGTGAATTGCTCTGCAGCACACGCAAGACTTTTAGAGGCATGAATTGAAACGAGTGCGTCGACACAACGGTGCGTAAAGACGCAGAAGCAGAAGCATGCGCCGGCCTTTAGGGGACGGTTTTCTCTCTAAGCTACTGAAATGGGATACACAATGTTCGGGGGCTAAAACTATTTTGTGCTGAAGGGCAGCTATTTACTTACTATTTCTAATTCGATGGTTGCTGCGCCGCGTCGGGCCTAACAACGCCCCCAAACTGTTACATTATTGGACAATAAAGTAGAGCCTCTCGTACCTTATTGCTTTATTAATACACACACGGGGGACTATCAGTCCTTCGCTTAACAAAAAATGAAAAGACAAATTGTCCTTGGATCTAAAAACAAGACCACTGTATGTTTCTTCCCTCTTCAGAGGAGCCCAAGGTGGGAATCAAGACGATCAAGATGTACTGTCAGAGGATGCAGGAGGAGAACATCACACGAGCCATCATCGTTGTCCAGATGGGCATGACGCCGTCAGCCAAACAGGTAAACACCCTCATCCTCTATTAACGGTTCTCAATTGTCTCTCTCAATAATTCGGCGATCATCTTTTAGTATTTGTGCTTTCTTTCTCACTCTCTTGGTAACCATATTTAACTAAATGTCTCCTTGCAGTCTCTTGTTGACATGGCACCCAAATACATATTGGAACAGTTCCTCCAGCAGGAGCTGCTCATTAACATCACAGAGCACGAGGTAAACGACGCGCTGTTTTGAGATCTCGTCGACCCCGCTGATAGGATTGCATTTGTTGTTTTTGATCTGTTGTTTTGTCTTTCAGCTTGTTCCAGAACACATCGTTATGACGAAAGAGGAAGTGGTTGAACTTCTGGGCAGATAGTATCCTCACGCATACGGCACTATTTAGAGTAATGTTTAGAGATGCAGGAAGTGCACTCTCCATTTCCCCAAAGACCCCCATCAAGGTGTATTTAGTGTCCTAATGAGACCCGACTCTATTTGTTATCCTTCTTTAACATTTTTTACTTCAGCAAATTAAAGGAAAGTCAGTTGCCGAGGATTCAGGCCGGTGACCCTGTGGCTCGATACTTTGGCTTGAAAAGAGGACAGGTAACTCATCAAAAAACACTTGATTTAAGATGTTTTTCTTCCAATATGTTTCCAAATCATACATTTTACAAAGTACATTTTATAATCCTGAATTTGATTGGTGGCCAAAGCTAAAAACAATAAACAAGACACGGTTTGTTTGAACATACACGGAAGGGATTTGCATGTAATATGTGATAACAGATGGAATTTAAATGAAATGCTAACCGAATACGGGAAGCATGGAACTGGAGATCCTGGTCATTAAGGCTGGCGCATGCATCGACGCACTCGTTTCAATTCATGGTTCTGCGTGTGTTGCGGAGCAATTCACCGGCAGAACAGGCGGAGTGACGTGTTTTTGTTGAAGACGACCTAGAGAGTCACGTCTCTTTATTTATTATAGACTTTATTGCCCCGTGCATCGCCACTGCTGCTTTTCATCACGGACACATTTGTCCCGTATTTTCCTCCACAACTTTGTGTGAAAAGAGACGCAAGGGGGTCTTGCGTCTGCGTCACTCTGAAAACGCAGAAGCATAAACTAGGCTTTACAGTCTAAAACTATATTCCTTTCAAAAACCTTTGCAGGTGGTGAAGATCATCAGACCCAGTGAAACAGCGGGGAGGTACATCACATACAGACTGGTGCAGTGACAGACGGTGAGTGAGTTACGCACAAAAAGGTTTACCGGTCACACTGCTAAAATCCCATCAGTGTTTGGTTCTCCTCGCCGTTCCTACATGTCCCAGGATGCATTGCACGCAAGCTGTTAGGTTGGCCCTCAATCCAGCAGCAGCGTACTTTCTTGGAAAAAATATAGGGGATCGGACATCCACATAAGGTGCAAAATATCCATCTGTGTGGTAACGTGGGGTTTCACCAGCTCCACCCAAAGCCACTCGGATGTGTGATGCTTTTTATAAAACATGTTTTGTATGTTTCTTTCCAGATTATTTCCTTATTGAGCAACATTGGAGGACCAGGAAAATTACGATATGACATCTTCTGCTTTTGAGTTCTTTAAATTGTGGTTTCTATTTGTAATGATTTTGTAAAATAAACTATTCAAAATATTGATTTATTTCTTTCTAATGTGTAAGTTAAAGGTCTGAACGGTGCGTTGAGTGAAGCTTCTGCGCGTGTAGAACGATGGTGGCAACTCTGAATGACTCCATATGCAAAATATACACCGTCCGTTCTACGGTAACAATTACAGGTGATCATACACTAAACTTTAACTGATCCCCATAAACACAACTACCTATAATGGTTTCAGAACCTACCTTCCGCTTTCTTTTAAAGGCCATGTTGTCTCCGCTGCAGACGGGAGCTTTGACTGCTTGTTGAGCTTCAGATCTTCACTAAAACCCTCCCAGGGAAGTGAGCACGTCTCTTTTCAGTGGCAGCAACTAATTTGATTATTTAGGTTCCTGCTCACCTTTGCTTCCTCGTATTGAATGTAAAAAACCAAAATGGAACAACTTTAAAATACTTTTTTTAATTATATACCAAATATCCAGAACGAGGCAATACAGGCAACATTTATAAGACAATACTGAATTTACTTTAAAACTTTTAGTGCTGAAATAAAACCAGAAGCCCTTTGATTTGCTTCTGAACTGCACATTAAGATGTGACTTACTGACCACTTTTCCTTAAGCTCGCAAGAGCAACGAATAAAACATTTTAAAAACGCATTTTTGCAGCAGTAGGTATTAATCATTTAAGTTAAAACCTCTTGAAAGAAGTAACTGCATCAAACAGCAGGAAGCTTGCCAGGATAAATGAACACAGCTGAAATCTGCATTCAACATATTACATCAGCTGGATTTTAATGATTAAAACCAGATCGACTCAAAATGATTTGGACCCTGAAATCAGACAAACTCTGGCTCACTGGCCCGGTTTCTGGTCAGCGGCAGCATCTTTCTGCACAGACTCTGCAGTGGGAAGCCCGACGAGCTCGTTCCGTGGGAGAACGGGTGGTTGTTGTTGTTGTTGTTGACGTTGAGCTCGGCCAGCGAGGCGCTCAGGTCGCGCTCCGCCGCTCTGTCCTCGTCTGGCGGCCCGCTGTCCGGCAGCGCGGGGGGCTCCGCCAGGTCGTGAGCGTCCCGATCCGCGTCCGGCGTCGCGGGCTCACTGGACAGGTCCAGGCTGTCCCTGGGGCTCAGCTGGTCCTCGTCCACGCTCTCCTGCCTCAGCAGGCCCGGCGACACCACGCTCCTCTGGCCGCGGTCGTCCAGCGCCGAGTCGGAGAGCTGCTCACTGGAGCCACGAGAGCTTCCTGGAGGGGGTTTACTGCAGTTATACTCAAAAGGCCAAATCAGCGTCAAGAGGAATTTTTAGGAGTTCGAAAAATGCAGGAGTTGTCGCTCAGTTTGCAAAAACAACATCAAACTGTTTTACCACTCTGCTGCCCAGAGCAGCCCTCCTCCATCTGGTCAGATTCGATTTTATTTGGCTCCTCGCTGCCTGCATCCGCAGAGCCCCCGATCTTGTCATCTGCAACGCCAGCCTGAACCAGGAGGTGAAATGAAGAGATTGTTATGCATGTTGGGATGTTCAATGCAAGTTTTAAAAAGAGTTAAACTAAATTTAGAAGTAATCCATTAAAAATACCATTTAGTTATAATTTTGGCAAATAATGGCCATTGTTGTATTTTAGTCAGACAATGCACAGAAAAGGTTTTCTTCAATTTAATAATGAAATGTTTTGATAAAAGGGGAGTTATCTAAATTATTTGTCATTTAAAGTGTAATAATTCAGAAAAAAATCAAAACGTATTTTCAGTTAAAGTGTAGAACATTAATACATAACTGCCCCTCAGCACACAGAGGGAGGGAGGGGGGGGGGGTCCCACCTGCTGCGTGGAGGTGGAAGCAGAGCCACAGGTTCGCTGCGACTGCGGAGCTTTGGACTGGAAGATGGACGAGTAGAAGACGATGAGGGACTCCACGATGCGGGCCTGGTGGGGGTAATCCACCAGAGAGGACAGCGATATCGTGGCCCCGGTTGGACGGGGCCGCATCAGGGAGGGGCCAAACACGATGCCCAAGTTACTGGGGCTCATCTTGTTGTCCTGCTCCAACTCTGCAATCCTGGGAGATACGAGGAGAGCAGAAGGATTGAGCATGAAATAAAAGTTAAAAAAAACAACCTGAAGATTCTTCTTCCGCCGTCACCGACTTCCTCAGGTGGCGGATGAGGTAACGCAGCGTCGCGATGTTGGCCTTGGGCAGGTCCTTCAGGAGCTCCTTCAGCTTCTCCACTAGGACCAGGACCTCCGGGTCGGTGTCGCGGCCCCGATCCTCCAGCTCCGGCGCCTTGCACCCCACCGGGACGACGCGGTGGGACTCCTCCCCCTCGGGGGTCTCCGCTTCGCCGTGCAGACTCTCCTTGGCCAAACCCATGAGACAGTTGTACATGCGGAACAGCATGATGGGCTCTGGCAGCTGGGTGGAGGGAGGGTGGAGGATGGTGGAGTTAGTGGGGCTGGATTACGTATCAACGCTCCGCTGAGGTCTGAGCGCGTTGTGTCTCTGCACCTGTCTGAGGTAAAGCTTGAGGACGTTGCTGATGTCATGCGGGGAGCACTGGGACAGCTCCACCAGCTCCTTGCCGTTCTCAAAGGCCTGACAGAGCTTCTCCACGCGCGTCTTCACCCCGTTCACCCGGTAGATGCCCTGCGAGGAGGAAGAGGAGGAGCACCGCGTCAAACAGACCCCCCGTGGACACATGTTCACAGCGCCGCCGTCAACAACAACAACGGCGGTCCCTTCCGCACCTTCATCTTGAGCGCCCGTCTCTCGATCTCGGAGATGCACTTGGTGATGATGAAGGGGATGCCGTCGCTGGCGCAGCCGGCCACCTGCGAGAAGTCCCTGCCGAACAGCTGCAGGCGACCCTGCAGCTTCTTGTGGCCGCATTGGATGGCCAGAGTCTCCAGGCAGCGCTTGTGACACGCCAGGAAACACTGCAGGGGGGTTGGAGACAGAGGACAAAGTCAAGACCTTTCCCCCACCCCCCGAGTCGGAGACTAGGAAGAAGGGAACTCGCCTCTTCGCACTCGGCGCCCTGGAAGTAAACGTAGCTGTCGCACTCGCGGCACTTTGAAGGAGTCCGCAGCTTCCGCAGGCGGTGCGTCTGCGCCGCTTTGGACAGGCCGAGGTTGCGGAAAGGTCGGGTGGACACCACCACGTCGGGGTCCATGCCGTTAATGTCTGAAGACCAGAAAATAAAAGTCTCAGCCGGCAATGAAGATTTAAATATCACGCCAAACGGTTACAATCTGTGAATCTTACTCGGAGATTCGAATGACGTCACGTTCACGTCTTTCTCGTCTGCGTCCTCATTGGACGACATTGTTCCAGTGGATGACGTGCGAACAATTTTACTGATGTCACCTGGAATAAACACACAGTTTAAACACTCACACACGCGGCTTCATGTGGGAAAAGACAAAAAAGATGGTCCGGTGACTCACTTGTGCTCGCAGTGGGAGACTCGAGGCCTCCTTCTCCGCCCACGCTGTCGTCGCTCACCGTGGAACCCCACGACTTGTGTCCCTGCCCTGGGGGGGGGGCGGACAAGGGAATGGATCAAATAAAAAAATCAGAAGGCTGGACGCGTTCAGGAAGCTACAGCTGTAACATCTGCGGCGGCCATCACTCACTCTTGCGTTGAGCCTCCGCGTCCCGGTTGTCCCCGGACGCTGCGTCGGCGGGACTCGTCTGCTCCGCGTTGAAGCTGTCGTTTCTCGCTCTGTGGCCGCTGACACGGGGAGTTACAGGGAGATGTTTATTATTATTTTATTATAAGGGAGAAGCTACAGCGGTCATGCTAAGCTAACAGGATGTAGCTTTGTGTTCACGTCAGAATATACAGCAACAAGATGGGAAAAAAAAAAAAGTATATCCAACAATTTCCTGATTGTGTCTTTGAGGACCGTTGGATAGAACAGCTTTAAGCCGTCTCATGGTGGTAAAGCAATGGGAATATTTTAAATAAGACTCATTCATTCTTTTAGAATTCTTAAATAAGTGCTGGTAGTTTTCACAGACCCCCCATCGAGCATCGGACCGCCGCGCTTACTGTGACGAGGAGCTGGAGGGACAGTAGTTCTCGAAGTCGTAGTGAACGGTCGGCTGCTCCGGCAGCTGCAGGTCTCGGACGTGGGCGGCGTACTGCTGGCCCGGGTCGTACAGCTTACTGCTCTCACACAGGGTCTGGTAGTGGACCGGCAGGGCCACCGTCTGCATGTGCATCAGCTGGTAGTACGAGATGGTCGCCTGCGGGGGAGGAGGAGAACGTTAGGGCAGAAGGCAGAGAAGCGAAGGCACGTTTAGAACAAAAAGGGCGGGTTCTGACCGAGCGGAGGGTCTGGTCGCTCTGCTTGATGACGTCCTGCAGTTGCCTCAGCACCGTGACCTTCGTGTGCTCCAGCTCCTGCTGCTGAGTGGTGGCGTCCGCTATGCACGTCCGGTAAGTGGCCTCCGCCTCGTCCGCCTGCACACACACGTTTGATGGTTTTAACTTCACTTTGGTGAAGCTCTGAAACAACTCAGACAAAAGTCGGTCGTCCACAAGAACCTTGTTGCGAGCCTCTTCCTCCACCCGCTTCTTCTTCTCCACGGACTTGGCGGTCGCCCCTCCTCCTTCCTCCTCGGCCCGGCAGGCGGCCGTCTTGGCCTTGTCGTACTCCTCGCAGCGGACCATGAAGACTTGCTTGGCTTTGCGCAGGTTCGCCTCGCACTCCATCTGAAAGGCGGCTCATTGTTGGCCCTCGTAGCTTGTGACATGGAGACGAGTCTCACCGCGAACGCTCAAAGGGTCGTACCAGTTTTCGCTTTGCTCGAATCCAGTGTTCCTTGATCTCCTTCCGCCTCTTTTCGTGCTCCTGCTTGCGTTGCATCAGCGGCTGCGCAGAGAAAACACGGGCGTGGATGGAGGGCACGAGGCAAACACACACACACACACACCGCGACAACACTCCGGTCAGGGTTACCTGGATGAAGGTCTGGGTGTGCAGGGTGGTGTTGGCCTGCTGCAGCCCGATGCTCTGCTCCTGGTCCTGCTCCAGAGCCAGCGAGTAGATGGAGAAGAGGGGCATGTGGGGCTGGAGGGAGACAACACACACACACACACACACACACACACACACACACACACACACACACACACACACACAAGGTTATGCTGCGTCGCTTTAAGTTTATCCAAGTTGTTAACAGCCGATGCCACAGAGACAAAAGGAGCTTTACATGCGTTATGCTGTGTTTGCAGGACTGGTACAATCTCTGGAGGCCTTTGGAAAACTCGGTCTCTGGTCAAAGGGAAGAAAAGAGGACAATGTGAGCAGGTTGTTGTACGGCGGCTCAGATGCTACAGATGCTACGTCACTGCTGCAGGGACGAACTCTAAAGTCAACACGTCCGTGAGGGTTGAACAAAGTGTGCAAGTATTACCAACGTGCATTTCTATTAGAATTAAAAACATTTTTTTAAAAGGAGTTATGGTCGGTTACTTTGGCAGCACCAGTCGTCTTAAATTCAGCCGCATCTATTTCAGTTAATCATTCATCTCGTCAAGAAAATTACAAATGGATCACTGTCTTCGGTCTAATCCCATAAAAGTGATGAATCGATTTAGCAAGCTGTGATCAAATCTTTATTACTTACATGAGGAGAGTTACATTTAATCATCTAATAAATGAATCCCATCAAAATTAATTTCATCAATTTTCCCACATAAAAGTAGACAAAAAAAAGTGGGGAAAAATAAATGAACCTCTAGCGCTCAAGACTTCTTGTTTCTAAAATGATCTTTAAATAGTGACGCCTGCTCACCCAGCGAGGTTCTCTTCTCCACGTAGCTCATCAGGTCCTTCATGTACTTGGAGATGGTTTTGGCGTAGAGCAGAGCGGAGTCCACCCCCCCCTCGCTGTTCTGGAGGATGACGTCCACCTCCTCGGCTCGGCCTGCGCATCAACACGCAAACGCGTCTTTACGCCAGCAGGGGGCGACCCGACGGACGCTGTGTGTGTGTGTGTGTGTGTGTCCCCCATGAACTGAGTGGCGCTTGGACGGAGGCCGAGGAGCCGATCAACCTACCCATGTCCTGCAGGTCGCTCCTGAACGCCCCCCCGTCTGCTCCCGCCGAGGCGTACAAGTTCTCCATCGACTGCACAAAGACGACGCCGTCATGTCACGTTATGCATTTAAGTCGCAGGGCGCTGCGCGATGAGAATAAGTCATTGTGCAGGTCGTTTAGCTGCTGAACTCACCCGGCTCTTCTCGGTGGGCAGCAGAGAGAGCAGCGTGCTGCTGTCCACCTCCCCCATCAGCAGCTCCGACACACTGGGGAGAGAAAGTCAGTGAACACAGCGCGGATGGAACGGCGTCCTGGTGGAGCAGCAGCGAACACGGGGAGGAAGAGAATGAGGGGAAAGAAAAATGTCCTAGCGGACAGAAAAGGGGACGTGCAACCCACCTGGGGGGGTTTTACTCTGACGGACACAACAACTAACTGTCCATATATCTGGATAAAAAGGGAGACGTGGAAACGGTTCGTGTTTGGTGCAATAAATAAGTTAAAAACAGCCGATAATCAATCATTTTATTGTTCACGCTGGACGAAACGAGCGGCGTCTCCATCTCCGTGTTTACGTCGAACAGAGGAGAGAATGAGGAAACAGACCCGACGGGCAGATTTCAACCGTCTCTGCCAGCTCACTTCCTCCTGCAGCTCTGTGACGGATGTCTAAACCCTCAAAGAACACAGGCCAACCGAAACATCTCTCTGCTCGGGCATCAAGTTTTTATTTTCTAAAGTGAAAACATTCAGCTTGAAAAATCAAACCGATTCGGCAGTTTTGTAGTAGTTTGATTCCTCTTAAAAGATCTCTGGTGATCGTTATCTCCGTCTGTAGACATCTGCCAGGTAGTCAACAGCGATTTAGAGTTTGGGTTTTGTGTCATACGGCAAAAAAAAAAAAAACCCACTTCCTGTTTTTCAGCCTGATGCAAAATGTGTCACCATCACTGAACTTCTCTCCACATTCCCAACAACAGACTTGCTACGCACAAGACACACACACACACACACACACACCACATCGTCTCTTCTGCGCGAGGCGACACGTGGTTAGAAACGCCGCCTACGTCCTCGTAGCCACCGCCCCCACTTTCGGATTGAAAAGGCGTCGTATACTCACTTGCTGCTGAACGCCACTGCGATGGTCTCGATCGCCTTCTCGAAGTCCTTTTTGTCCGCCTCGTTACAAGCCTCGTAGTGGAACCCTGGCAAGTCACAAGTTTCAACGTGGTCGTCGCACGACGCTTTTTCGACGAGATGTGCAAAAAGGCCTCGGCGACGGAAAACCCCACTGACCTTTGACCTTTGATATGAGCTTGCCGGCAGCGGTGAGGATCTCCACGGTGTTGAGCAGCGGGTAGGTGTTGATGACCTGACGCAGCACGCGCAGGACCTCGCCCAGGCACTCGTGAGCCACGGGCCGCTGGCTCTCCCTCTGTCCTGGGGGGGGGGGGGTCGACAAAATACATGACGTGTCAGTGAGCGCGTTGAGGCCGCGTTCGTTAACCGCCACGCGGATGTGACAGCGACACGGATCTTCTGGGCGGTGACAGGCGGACGAGTCGCCAGTCAAAGCTCCTCTGCTGTGATGTCACGTGTGCGGAAACTTTTCAACCTCTTTTTTTTGTTTAATGTCACAAGTCGGCTCCTGGGTGAAGCGTTTGAGGCAGCTTGGTCTGAGGAGGCCAGAGGGCAACTGATCTAACACCCCCCCCCCCCCTCTGCAACCGGCCCCATGCTTCCACAGAATGTCAAAATCAAAGAGCGACCCGCTCTCGGGGGAGCAAGAGTAGGAAACCCAATTACGGTCTGAAACGGTTGCTTTCTGCAGGCCGACAAGAAACGGCGCATTCTGACTCAGTTCGGGGCCATTTTAGAAAAGGAATAAAAGTGGGACCTGGAGAATAAGCGGAGGACACCAGGGGCTCACGAGACACCTCTGTCTGATGGAGGACGCACAGGAGACAAGGCTCTTTGTTTCGGAGGCCGTCCATTCAGGACTTCCTTGCTCAAGGCCTCTGTGGCCCGAGGAAGGGAGGAGGAACGGGGGCGAGATAAACCTCCCTTTTTTGCCTCGGCGGGGGGGGGGAGGCTCTCTGAGGCGCGTTGGGCCTGGAACTTCCAGGGAGGGGAAAAA